ATGTACAATGTTGTCCAATCTTTTCTCCCCTTTCACTATTAAGTGATTCTTAATGTTTCTTTATACAATTTTTGTTTAAATTTCCTTTAGTGTGAATGGGTGATCATTATTATGCGTGTGCATGTACCTGAATCATATAATGGTATAGTTGAATTTGCAGGGTAGAATAATACCATTAATATTTTATTGCAGTAGCAGCTGTACCGGTAATAGCTTTATCAGTGTGTATTTGGATTTATTGAGTCTTATTATGTCGGTAGCGATGATACAGATAGATAGGTTTCGGTCCAGTCAACTGTTGTATCATTGTAATGTCAATCAAAGATCAATTTACAGGCATTTCATTGTTCATTCAAAAGAGTATTCAGATTGATTCTATTCTTCTTTGTCCAAGTCATATAACACAAATTTAGAAACTGAGTTTAGAATGATGTAATTATACTTTGATTTAAAAAAAGAGGAGGAAAATATATAGAGAAAGATATCGACAAAGTAATTCAATAGAGGCCTTAATTGTTACATCCAATGTTCATAAGTTGACTGTTTATAATGGGGATTCTGCATTAAATGATTTTTTCCTTCCTAATTGAATAAATGAATAAATATAATATCAAATTGATGATATGATCATAGTGCACTATCCAAATAATCTCACATACAAGTAATGGAATCACAGTCAACTCAAAATATACATTTCTTCATATTAATTGATTGATTGATAAATTGACTGGCTGGCTGATTGATTAATTGATCGATCGGTTACTTTTTATTTTCTTGATTTCATTTGATTTATTCTAATTACATTTTATTTTACTTCATTGAATTTATCACATTGATTAATTGATTGATTGATTTGATTTTGATTGACAGGCAAGTGACATTAGCAGTTCTCTGGCATCCATCTACGACATTGTTGACCCTGTTGCCTTGGAGACGATGGTCACCAATCAACTGCCCCTCTTTGAACGCCAGTGGTCATCCCTGCTGACCAATGTGGACGTATCCTTGTAAGTTTCAGTCATTCTGTACAATGTCTGTGGTCACTCATGTCCACTTTTAAAGGATAAGTCAAATTTAGGGAAATTCATCATGATAGATTATTTAAACAAGTATTTACAGCATTGAAAAAAAGGTGGTGGATGTGATATTGATATGAATCAATTGATTTAACAAGAACAAGGCCAAAGTATATGTCAATTTTGTGTCCCACGTTTAAATACCAACAATTATTTCTAGTAAGGATGTCGACTCATAAATCTAATTACCCATGACTTCTATGCCATGCCTCTTCCTTTCTGGAGGTAATCAATTTTCTTTTCTTTCTTTCTTTTTTTTTGGGGGGGAGGGGTGGAGGGAGAGGGGGCATAGTTTGAAAGTGCGTTAAGGCGGATGTAACATACACTATTTAAAAGTTAAACTGTATTTATTCATAAGAAATATTTTTCCTACGAGGAAGAAGTTGTCCCGGGGATGTAGTTTTGGGAGCTGTTCTGTGGAAATTTTGGTATGATATTTAATTACTGTTAAACACAGGCAGGTTTCAGGAAAGGTAAATCAACCACCGACCAAGTAGTCAGGCTTGTTAACGACATAGAGACGGCCTTCCAGAAGAAGCAAAAGTTTGGTGCAGTTCTTGTCGACCTTGCTGCGGCATTTGACACAGTATGGCACCGTGGCTTATACCTCAAGACCCTGCAGATGTAAGAATTGTGAAATTTATCATGCTGCTTGTACAAGACCGGTCATTTGTCCTTGAAACATCAAACAGCGAATGCAGTAGGAAGAGGAAACTCCACAATGGTGTGCCGCAAGGCTCTGTCCTCGCTCTGATACTTCATCATCTATGTCTCTGATATGCCCAAGGGGGAATGCATACAGTATTCCTACGTAGACGACACCGCACTGGGGTTCAACAACCACTCCTTCGAGGCAATCGAAACATCACTGGAGAAGGACCTGAAGATGCTAGCCGAGTTCTTCAACAGATGGCATCTCAAGATGAGCATACCAAAGACTGTATCCTCCGTCTTCCACCTGGCTAACCGATGCGCCAACCGAGAGCTGAATATCTCACTAGATGGCTCTAGGCTGAACTTCGTCTCCACACCAAAGTACCTAGGTGTCACTCTTGACCAAAGCCTCACCTTCCACGAGCATGCCAAAGCCACAGCTCAAAAGACCCAAGCCAGAGTGTCTCTCCTAAAGAAGCTTGCAAGGACCGGATGGGGAGCTAATTTCACCACCCTTCGCACCTCCACTCTAGCTCTTGCCTTCTCCACTGCCGAGTATGCTGCACCTGCATGGAGCCACAGCACCCATGTACACAATATTGATGCTGTCCTCAATGATGCTATGAGACTAATCGGCGGAACACTCACTGCAACACCCGTCGGCAACCTGCCAATATTATCTGGCATACCACCAGCTCAGTTCAGACGAGATGCGCAGTACACTAAGCTTGCCTAAAAGCATGACAGAGATAAAAGCCTTGTTCCTGCCCCCTCTGCCTTTGAAGGACAGTGTCTCCCTTGAAGACACTTTGCAACACAGGCTGCTGAGCTGCGACCTGAGAAGCCCCCCTCCACCTTAGCCACTTGGATAGCAAAACGCTGGTCAGACCAGTGGAATTCGTCCACTACCAACTTGAAGGAGTTCATCCCAAAGCCCTGTGCAAAACTAAGTGGCAGCGACCTCCCAAGAAAAGCCTGGGTCAACCTAAACCGTATTTTTGATAAGGTTTTATTCGAATATTCAACAATACAGCTGGAGGCTGATACAAGTGAATTTACAAGGTAAAAATAATTCCATAGACATAAAAAATATAATTATATGCTTAAACACTTTTAAATGAATCCAGATATAAACAGTACATAGTAAATAAATCATAGATAATGAAAACAATAATAATATTGAGTTCGGTTTGCACTTGGATATGAAATAAATAGAAATTCAAAGGGTGTAAGATCAGGTATACAGTTTGAGAGTCGGAGCAGGACATTTTGATAATGTATTAAGAGAAAAATTATTATTGATCATTAAAAAATTGAAATTAAATGATTAAACTGTAACATTTGCATGAAGTATATATACAAAATAATTCGATAAAATACAATTATTAAATATTGTTATGTATGATCTTCATGAATACGTGATGTAAAACCCGGCTTGAAAACATAAAATTACATTTATTAAATTAAATTTATTAAAATAACATTAATAATTATTGCATTGATCAACTTGCATTTATCAAAGTTGAATTTAAAAAGTCAGATAATATACATGGTTCTTTTGAGTTGCATAGATTGGCAATGAAAATATCTTTTATAATAATTTATCGGATAAAAATTGCATTTAACTAAATTATATTTCTAAAAATTACATTTCTTTTCACAAAATCAAATTCTTAAAAAATGCATTTTATCAAAGTTCTATTTATTAAAATCATATTTATCACAACTCTATTCATAAAACTAGATACAAATTCAGATAGAGGTTCAGGATTAAATAGCTAGACCTATATGAGGAGGTCGGGATTCTTATTTAGTAAACGAACAATTGATGGGATACTAGAATTGTAATATCTTGTGGTCCTGCATTTTGGTTCATGGAGAAGATGTGAGTTCCGTAACTGCCTTCCAGACAGTGATCGTCGGGACTTTGGAAGAAAGTCACGATGGCGAGCTGACGTGAGAAGGTCACGTGCAAAAGAGAGGAGAAGACCTTCTCGTCGTGAGTGGAGAGAATCAAGACGGAGGTGATCCAAAGCACCGCGGTAGGAGTCATACCCACCAAGGATGACTCGACAGACCCTTTTCTGCACACGTTCAATGTCATTGGATTGAGCAGTGGTCAGTGACGAGGACCAGACAGGTGATGCGTATTCAAGTACAGGTCTGATGTACATAGCATAAATAGCAACCAAATCAGAGGTCGGAAGTCTACATTTTCTGAGGCGATATACAATGTAGAGACGTCTGCTAGCCTTCGAAACCATCGCTGAAACATTGGTGTCCCACTTTAAGTCGGCTTGAAGATGGACACCAAGTAGCGTGAGGTGGTCGACCACGGATAAGCTGGTATCAGCGACTTGGAGCTTAGGAAACTGCACTTGCTTTACGAACGAGATATTCATGACGCAACATTTAGTAGGGTTGGGCTTCATGTCATTCGACTCACACCACTGGACAAGACTATCAAGTTGAAGTTGGACAGTAGAGGGTTCATTCGCTCGGCGGATTTCTACTACACTGAGGTCATCCACATATTTCCATCTGTGGTTGAATTCACTCAGCGCATCATTAATCATGACAAGAAAAATCACGGGACCTAATTTTGTGCCCTGGGGGACTCCGCATGTAACTCCCAGATCACAGGATATGCTCGAACCAACTCTAACTGCCTGTTTGCGCTCATTCAAAAAACTACAAATCGCTGGAATCAGTGCAGGTTGTACTCCGTAGTTGATTAACTTTCCAATTACAACATTGTGATTCACGTTATCAAACGCCTTTGCGAAGTCGATCGCGCACAAAGATGCACAGTAGCCAGGTCTGTCTAGATTCTTTCCGATCGTGTCAAGAAGGCTGATGAGGTAATGTGACGTGGAGCTTCCAGCAACATTACCAAACTGCTTCTGGTCAATAACAGGTGAGAGGTCGTGAGTAACCCATCTACAGATGAAGGTTTCCATCACGCGTGAGAATATTGCAGTGATGGAGATGGGCCGTAAGTCTGATAGTTGTGAAACTTGCTGTTTTTTCGGAATAGGAGTGATAACTGCTCGTTTCCAACTCGAAGGGTAGTTCCCAGTGTGAAGAATGGCATTGAATATCACCGAGAGGGGGTCCGAGAGTTCCATTGCAAACTCCTTGATAAGTTTGATTGGAATATCGCCCGGTGCCGCTGCCTTGGATGCATTCAGCCGACGTAAGACGTTATACACTTGATGGGCATGAATAATCGGTGGTGGTAAGGGTGGAAGATAAGATGGTAGAGATGTCCAGTCCAGTGATGGGAGCTGGTTACAGATGTTAGCGAAGTGTTCATGAACCCTGGCAGCTTTTTGCGAGTCGTTATGCCCAAGGCAGGGTGGAAGGGTTAGCGAAGACTTGGTAACTCCAGCCATGCTACGAATTTGCCGATGCCATTGGGAAGGTTCACTTTGTTTCAACATTTGAACCTTCCGAGGGTAGAAAGATGCCTTGCTTTTTGCTATCTCTCGCTGGACTAGATTCCTTACGGCACGAAACCTGTCCAAGTTCCCGGAATCATACGCTCGTTGCCTATTCTCGATGAGGGCTCGGATGCGACGCGTGATCCATGGTTTGTCATATTTTGCTCCTTTAGATGCGACTAATGGGAAGTGTTCATGATACGCCTGGATGAGCACTTCCTGAAAGGCCTCTACCATTTCATCCGTAGTAGTATCAATGTGATGTAACCAATCAAACTTATAGGCCGTTATCCATCTCCCAAAGGATCTAATATTGGAGTCCCGAAGAGGGCGTCTGTAGGTCTTGACGACGTTGTCTGAAGAAAGTTGAGATGATCCAGTCATCAGCACGGTAGCATGGTCAGAGTTGGCTATTGGAGCTTTGATAAGGGGTTCGCTATAATGCTCTGGATGATCAGTAAAAATCATGTCTAGAATGCGATTGTTGCGGGTGTGTTGCTTAACCATCTGCGATAAATTGAGATGTCTCTCAAACACAGAAACATCGAGATCGTTGAAGTCTCCAACTATCAACATGGAAGAGTCTGGATGAGTGCTTCTGATATGGTCCCCCATGGTAATCAGATGGGTGATTATGTCATCTTGGTGCGGTGTACGGGGTGGAGAGTACACGACGCATACAAAGAGGTTGGCATTACCTTTCACATAGTTATACACATTAACTTTAATCCAGATTATTTCAAGATGAGGTGGGACCCGGTCAAGTTCGAATTCAACAGGATGTAAGTCCTCTCGCAAGTAGAGGGCAACCCCTCCACCCCTTTGAGCAGTTCTGTCTCGATGGAAAAGTTTGTAGCCCTGCATGGTATTGGCTACAGCAGGATTTGAATCACCAAACCAGGTTTCAGTTACACCGACAATGTCGGCATCATAATGATTAACTGTTGCAGTCATTTCATCAATCTTTTTATTCATCGACCGTACGTTTGTTAGCATAATAGTTGGATGTCTATCTTTACATCTCTTGTTGACGACTTGTATGTGTCTCAAATTAGGATTCAATTTGTGTGGAGGTTCCTTGACAGTTTTAAGCTCATTTTTCCTGCAAGAAATTCGTGTTTTGATCGGGCGACGTACTCGACGCCCAGCACGACAGCCCCGTCTGGTGATTCCTAGTTCCTTAGCAACATGACGAACTTCCTCCGATGGTTTTATTGTTGTATTACGTAATGAAAGGAGTTGTTCGGGGCTGTAAGAGGTTCTCGATACGGGGGTATGAACATCCATTGTTCTGTCCAAATTCAAAGTCTCTTGTGAGAAAGACGGTGCCTGGTAATGCCCGATCTATCAGAACTAGAGTTGGCCGTACACAATATTTGGAGCTGAATCATCTCCAAACTGCGCCTGTGGAGAGATCCAAACTATGGATCATGTCATTGATGATTGTCCAATCTACAAATCCCCCCACGGCGCTTCCGGACTTTGTGAGCTTGATGATGAGACAATCTGTTGGCTTAATAAGGATCTTCCTATCTAGATGATGTACTCCCTGATATTCTTTGCACGAACGAACGAACTGTTAACCAAATATGACATTCAGTTGAACATCATGTACTAATACATGTTCCTCTATTTTCTTCTTTTTTTCTTTCTTGCTTTTATAGCAAAGCTAAAGCATTTTCAACCCTTTTGGAAGGAATGGTTGGAGAGGTAAGGAATTTTTTTCTTTTGTTTTTTATATCATTTTTAAAAGTTCATCTATGATCTACTATAAACTCTGAATATCTGATTTTTGTTCTCCTTCAGTCTTTGATCATGTTCCTGTTTACTTGTTTTTGCTCTTCCATATGAGTGTAAATGTTAATGACATAGATAAACACTTACCCAAATTCATCTTTTTTGGTGATTTAAAAACGAACAGTAGTAACCCAGGCATTGGACCACATGTCGTACACTCCCTGGAATATGATTTGAATGGCTTCTACAGACCTGCTGGAAAGATCTGGAAGGTGGTAAAAAATATAGTCTAGAAACAAAAACATTCTAAGAAAGAAATCAATATTCATGAAATGCAGTATGGAATACAGTTCTGATCTTATATGATATTAGATTCATTTCTTTCCACAAAACTCATAAAAAAGTAAATGTGTAAAACAATGCAGAAAACAATCTAATTATTTAACAATAGAAATACAAACATGCAGTAAAGAATGATACATAACTTGATAATTGAGTATACATGTACGGTATGTGGAGGGACTGAGCAAAATCAAGGGCTAATCCCCAGCTAGGTTTGGGATTTATATTTTGACCATCATCTCGATTTCTTTTAAAACTCTAGCCATTGAAGAGCTACTACAGCCATGGAAAGGGGTCCAATTCAAGCAACAATAAAGGGTAAGTCATGGTGGAATCTGAAAATCTGAAGATACATGCTTGTTTGTACATTATCAAAATTTGTTATAATATGCAACATTATTTCTTCTATCTTTTGATAGCGAGGGGAAATCTCTTAAATCTTTCAATCTGTCCATCAGATTAACTGTCTATGTATTGATCTACATGTATCAGTTAATCAATCAAAAAAATCAAATTATTAATTATTTAAGCACTTAACCAATCAGTCTATCTATCAATCCTATTGAATCAATCTGTCGGTTGATCAATATGTTCATCAGTTAGTTATCATTTGATCATGATCATATGCCATTTAGTCAGTAAATTAATCAATCTGTCAGTAAATCGATCTGTCAGTTAATCAAGTAACAAATCAATCACTCAAACGATCAACCAACCAATCAACCAATTAATCAATCGGTCAGTCAATAGTCATTCAGTCAGTAAATCAATTGATCAATCAACCATTCAATCGATCAACTAATCAATCAATCAACCAATTAATCAATTAGTCAGTCAATAGTCATTTAGTCAGTAAATCAACCGATCAACCACTCACTTGATCAATCAGTCAACCAATCAATCAGTCAACCAATCATTTAATTAACTAACTAACTAATAAGTCAATCAGCCAATCAATCTTAATTTAATCGGTTTTTCAATCAAATATGTGATGGTTCTTTTCTGAATCAATCAATCAATCCATCAATCAATTTATCAATCAGTTGATCAATGAATCCATCCCTCATTCAATCTGTCGATCAATCAATTTATCAGTTGATCAACTAACCAATCTAGCAATCAATTAATATTTCAATGTTTCTTTGCAGGCAATCTGGTAGGAAGCCATATGTCCTGTTTGGTCAGAACTCAGTGAGAGCTCATATGAAGCTGACCCAAGAGGGTGGATTCCTCCCGGGGAAGACCCTTCACATATCAGGCATAGGAGACACACCAGCTAAACACATGGTAAGATCTAGAATAATACAGTGAAACCTGTCTATAAAGACCACCCAAGGGAGACAAGAAAAAGTTGTTTTGATAGGCTGGTGGTCTTTATGTACAGGTTCCTTTAGTACATGTTTCAATGACAAACCATTTTCAAGGGAAACAAAAAAATTTGGTCTTTGTAGACAGGTGGTCTTTCTATACATGTGGTCACTATTAAAAGCAGGTTTGACTGTATCACAGATATCTTTTTTTAATACAATAGGTAACTTTTCTGATGTATTCAAGATCTTATGCACAGAGAATGCTATTAGCTACTTCATCGTGGCATATGTTACACTGTTTCTTTAGGCGCTGCTGCCACGGTAGAGCTAGGAATATGTTGTTTTTAATACGCTCTTGATCTGATTGTAATGTACTTTGGCTTCCTTGCGCTCTCGCTATGGAGGTTTTGAGCATGTTCAAAACTTTGTGACAACCAGGGTGATGGTGGCCATCCTAGACGCTTCAGAAATGATCAAGATACGATGGAGAAGATTGTCCAGATCAAGCCACAATCCATCAGGCTTTGTTGATTTTTGAGGATCAGGTCAGAATCATCTTCTGGTGAGATGGGTTATTAGAAATCAAGTACATGTAGTGTTAGAAATGGGTTACAGAGGAATTGCTGGTTCAGCTTACGTTATACAATCATGGCGACCTTCATACCTTTAATTTCATTGATTGTTGGACCCTCCAGATCTGTCAGTTGGTTGCTCCCAGGAGCCCTCTGTGTTGCGCCAGAACCTACTTCACTTCCAGTGGCCACGCCCCCTACCCCATCACAGGGGGGTCCGCTCAGGCGCCACGCCCACCAAAGACAGACATTGAGTAAGTTGTGGAAGATCTCTTGTGTCGAATTACGTCATTGTTTGTATCCATCATCTATGCTCCAAATTTACTTAGTCAGGCTCTTGTTCAATGAGCAGACCTCTGGTTCGCTCTAGTGCTGTTGTTGACAGATCTTTTGCCAATATTGAAATTGAAGCCATATCAATATATTTTGCTAGTCTACAAAGGACTTTGCTCATATTGATACAATATGTTAATCTGTTAACTACTGAAATGTCTACTTCCAATAGGCTTTACAGAAATGTCCCAGTTACTGTAGCCAATCGGTTGATTGTTGCATATTGTAGGTTCATACATGAAATATCATATATTGAATGAACATGTATTTAGTAGTTATTAAAAAAAAGCATATATGCAAGTTATTTGTCCATATTTACATGAACGTTAATTGTATGTATATTGTTTTTAATCTTTTTCTGATTTGCAGACTTCTGGAGAGACTATATAAGGTTGTGATTGAATCTGTCTTGGCATCAATCACTGAGTATTGCAAGACTACTAGCTACTCAAAGGTATGGCGATTAGTTTTAATAGTTCTTAGTTCTATACATAATAGTCGAAAATTATCTTTTTAACCATTAAATACTCTTTCCTAGTAATCCTTGGATCACGCTTTTCACATGGTGAAGCAGCAAATTTTAAATAGACACTTCTTGAACAAAAGGTTCTGTTGACGACTGGTAAGCTTGTCAGAGGCTTGCCTGACATAGCATCAACCAATGCATGCTAAATGAATAGAGATTCCATTATGCATAGCAGATGAATCAAATAGTCAGGAACCAAGGGTTTTGGGAGAGAAACATAAAAAAAAAAATTGAAATATATTAGTAAATAGGTATATGTTGCCGTCTTGCGTTCATTAAACATTTTTGGAGGGGTATTCCCAGCTTCAATTTTTTTTTGAAAGCAGTTTGTCACTGTGGAAAGTATATACATGTATACCGGTATGCATATCTTTAATACTAGAACACTGAACAAATATAAAGCAATTTTCTGTTTTGAGTCATCCTGCAGTGCATTGTTAATCTTCTATTTCTCTTTATGTTTTGCTCTTTCCATCTTTCATTCTTCTCATATTTATTTATGTATCTCTCTCTCTGTCTGTCTCTGTCTGTCTGTCTGTCTCTCATTCTCCCTCCCTCCCTCTCTCTCTCTCTCTCTCTCTCTCCCTCCCTCCTTTCCCTCCCTGTTTATCTTTCCTTCCCCTAGGCTGAAGCATGTTGTCTGTCATCACTGAAAGAAGGATTTGCAGAGGAGAACCTCAAACTGGGCTCTGGCTTCCTCACAAACAAGTAAGCTTGTGATGTACTATCTTTGAACCTATAAATACTACCCCTCCCCCCCAAAAAAAAACAACAAAACAAAACACATCAACAACAACAAAAACACACAAGCTGAAGTCTGTGTTATCATATCCAGTAGGTGAAGAGTTTTTATTTCTGTTATTATTTGTTGGTGGTAGGAATTCAACCAGATGTCAAACATTTGTACAAAGAGAATTGACCCAAAATAGTAGAGTGTAGCTAGTTAGTTAGTCAATCAATCAGTAAACCAACCAAATGTTTTGTCTCGATCATTCAACAGCCCAAATGGTCAATTAATCAATTGATCAATCAATAGGTCTGTCATTCAACAAATCAATCAATAAATTTATCAATCAACCAACCGATCCATCAATTAATCAATCAATCAATCCTTCCATCTATCCATCAACCAATCAATCAACCAATCAATCAATCAATCAATCAATAAATCAATCAATAAATCAATCAATTCTATGCATGCATGCCTTAGTTACAAACTACTGGTTTTACGACTAAATTTAAGGTCATGTCCCCAATCTCTATCTCTGTCTCTATCTCTTTCTCTTTCTGTAGAGCCAACATTGACTTCACCCTAGACGCACTCACCAATGAAGGTAACACCGTAGAGCTCAAAGATGACAAGGTCCCTCTCATCAAACTGGTAAGAGATCTTAATCCTTTAAGGCCCGGTCGCACAGAGGGGACACATGGGGGACGCACCGCCGGCGCATTGAAAATCGACAAAAAAGTTGTGAGCCCTAAGTTTGTCAGGATTTGGGAGAAGCTAGCGAGCTGACACCGAATGCATAACGTGCTGCTAGCGCGCTGTGCATATACAGGGCGTGGGCTCTGCGTATGTCTGGTGTTGGTCTAGCATGCTTCGCGCATGTCTGGCGTCCTTTTGGCGTGTACATTCATGCGTCCAGCTCCGTGCACACTTTTGAGCATGCTCAAAAAATCCCGCAGACAACGAATGACGGCAAATGCATAGCGTTGGTCCAGAGTTGGCCCAGCGCGCTTGATGAACGAGTAACGAATGATGACGCACACATAGCGAACGACAACGCACTGGCCAAAATTGCCAATTTCCAATGCGCTGGCCGTGCGTCTCCCATGCGTCCCCTCTGTGTGACAGGGCCTTTAACTACTGAATTTTCTCAATTATCATAATCTTAACACTTCAGATAGTTAGTAAATTAATTTGTTCATTTTCCAGATGTGTGATTTTGCACAATGGATGGAAGGATTGTTTTGTGTAATATAATTGCTTTGCAAAATTACCCATATTCAGTCTTGATTAGCTCTATGGCAGCCCTTATAACACTGGTATAGATTAATTTTGCACTGAAAAACAGCTACACGATCTTGAAGCCTTTGGTATATCGATCTATCCCATGATAAATACAATGTTGCTCAGGTAGCTTATGTCTGTGACATACAGTGGATACAGAATTAATACAGAATCCACTCGGTTCCTGTATGATATGGTTTAACCTTTTTAAAAATTAACCACTGAAAACTGCCCTTGAAATGAATTGCACATACTTGTAGTTCTGTTGAATTCCTAGAGAATGGGGTCTTGTGCAATTGCTTTATGAGGTCATAGTCATCTTTGGGAATTCCCCAGATAGATTCTGTATTGCAAACAGTATGGCTAGAGTGCCCATGTCTGTGCAGCATTCTTGTCTGTGCGTACAAGTAACTGTACAAAATAAAACATGCAGCAAACACGAAATCTCCATATATATTTGAGTGATAGCATTCTTGCCACAAACAATGGGAAAAGTGTAATTTAAGAAATGTAATTCTCACGCCTCAAAATGCCATATTTCATGTCAAAAATCCTGAAAAACGTTTAGAGTGAATGAGTTTGCAGGCATGGGAACCTTTCTTTTTACAATATCAAAATGACACCTTTGCCTTTTCTTGTAAAAATGACATTGTTCTCACTTGAATTGATGCAATTTTTGGCACATTTACTCTCTAGAATATAAGTATTAAGATGAGATCAAGCATTAGGGGAATACGAAAGAAAATTCTTGTGAATTTCTAGCGCAATGTTAGTTGTACAGATTTAGGACCCCCCCCATTATATATACATTTGACAAAGTCATTTTGAGCTGTCTGAAACCGACAAACTCTTTCCACATTTTGTAACCGAGTAAAAGCATGTCAGAGCTAGATGGATAGATCATGCCTCTTCAAGGTATCTCTGACATTTTGTTGGATTCATGGGACGGCAACTTAAGCTCTTTTGAATAATTCACTTCAGGAGGGGGCTCCCCCTTAATGAGGTAATAGAGATTGTTTCCCACGCGTTAAAGGTATAAGCATCGAGAGTGCACCAAAAGAAATGGGTCATGTATCATTCTGTCGTGGGATATTCTGAAAAGTATGTTATCTTCTGTGTTTAATAGGGAAAATGATGTTAATTATCATTAAAAAACTGACACTGTGTAGACTATTACTTGGTGCTTAAAGCAGAAATTTCTTTTTAGATATAAGCATATGCAGCCTTAGCTTCATGCAGACATTAACCAGTGACTTTAATAATTATGATTTTTTTTTTGTTATTAAAAAAAAAAATTACGTTTAACAAACTTTTGCTAGAATGAAAGATAACAAAATTGTCAAAATACCACCTCAAATGTGCCTTATTTAAATTATCCAAATGGGCGCTTAATATGAAGAAAGAAAGCCACGACTGGTTAAAGAAAACCTGAATTTCAAACAGGCCAGATCAAGAGATAGACCACAGATAACTTTGGAAGAGACATCGGCAGAATTAAGGTTTCTGTGCAGATTATTCATGGAGAATTGATTGGAAGGGTGGATATAGACTAAGAGATCGGGTACTTCAGTTTTAAACCAGAATTCACATCAATTAGTAGCAATATACCATTGGATGAATAAATGAGTTGTATTCTTAGAAGCAGTTTGGCTAGATCGATTGCTACGGTTAGCTAGAAAAGGTTACCAGGATTACCATGATCAGCAGAATATCTTGTCCACACCCATGCACTGCGGTAAACCTGAGATTTATTATACTGTATACATGATATACATGATTGTAGGTTTTTGCAGGTTTGTTAATATAACATTTGTCTCTATTAGTTCATGATGATCAAGAATAGACTGTTTCCTATTAAACACATTCAAATTTATTTTTTGGTGTATAATATCCCCTTCGTCTTTCGGATGGTGACGTTAAAGGTCGGTCCCCAGACGTAAATAATCATATCTGACCGATACACGTCTGTAAAAAAAAAAAAAAATTACACACACACACTATTTTACAGTGCCGGGTCAGTGGTGCTTGCAGAAAGCTTCCTCATCTCCTTTCTAATGCTAACACCAATTTCAAACTTTAAATTCATTTCAGGTGTCATTGGTGGTGTATGATATCCCCAGTGTTGAGCACCCCAATAACAGTGTTGGGTCTGTGGTGTTTGCAGAAAGCTTTTTTGACTCGGCCATTCCAGTGCTCCAAGAAGGTAGGTTTTGCAAGGGACCTTCAGCAATTTTATTAACTTGGCTATAGAGCACTGAAGCTGTGACATGAAAATCTATTTTTAGAATTTCTCATTTTGAACTTCATTTTCCGAAAGAGTATCAAAAATAATGTCCAAACGTTGAAAACCAATTGAATATGTTAAGTATTGGCTAGATGTCCTATAGGAACTCTGTGTTATTTTGCTCTGGTTCGTAATGTTATGAACCAGAGCAAAAGTGAAGTTCAAATTGAGAAATTCAAAAAAATAGTTTTTTGATGACGTCACACTTCACCACTCTATAAACCATACCTTATATTTTGTTGTATGCCAAACAAAAAATTCTGAATGAATTTTTAACCTTTTCAATACTAAGCCTAAAATATGCTGTGAATCACTCTGTTAGAAGTGCATTCACCAATTTTTTTTCTTCTTCAACTTAACATGTGACATTGGTAGATCATGTATAACCCTTATGTTACACAGGGTTAATCATTCTTGGGAATATTTTGCACAACAAAAACTATTGAAGCATAGTGCTTGTTAGGAGCAACATAACAAATGCTTGTATAAGTTCAATATCATATGCTTAACCCAAGTTCCTTGTCATCATTGCTATTTTTACCCAAGTGAATTAAAGGTTTATATATTTGGTCTAAATCCACAAGTTTTAATATTTTCATATTTAATGAACAATTTGCTTCTTATGATTGTAAGTTATAGCAAAATGGTGGATAGATACCTGTGCTGTGCCAAAAGTGACTTTAAAGTTGAAATTCAAATTGATAAATGTCTTGTATCTGATTCTACTTTTGTATTCATTTCTACTGTTTAGATGGAAGCATTGAGATGAACACAGAGAGTCTCATTCTGACCAGGCACCTTCCTAGGACTATCACTTGGGCTGTAAGCACTACCATCATTTTATTATTGTTATTATTATTATTATTATTATTGTTATTATTATTACTTACAATCCATCTAGTCCTCAATTCTTTTGTATCCTCTTCTGTCCAATAGTAACTGAGATCTCCATCCTGTAATGTATCAGGGCTGCATCCTATTTTTTTTTTCACAGGAGGTTCAGGGTCCTGTTTCATAAACCTTGTTTCAGTAATTGATGTGAGCTACTGAAATCATTGCACTTTATTGGCTATGAGCAAATTTGTCATAGATATAGGCAGTTGTTATTGACTAGTTTGTGTGAAAGAGGGCTAAGATTGCAATTTTTGAGGTCATGTGCAAGGGCCACATGTCAAAATTTGAAAATTTGGGGGTCCAGAGTTAGAATTTGGAGCATTTGCTTTGTAAACCTTAGGCACGGATCCAGGATTTCTTGGAGGGGGGGGGGGCCCAATTTTTTTTTTTTTTTTGCTCCCGCAAATTTGAAAATTGCGCCAGCCAAAAATTCACTCAGTGGGGGTGGGGGGGGGGGGGATAGTGAGCACTATTTTTGGGGGAGGCCGGGGGGGGGGGGGGCACATGCCCCCTGTGCCCCCCTCTAGATCCGCCACTTAACCTGGTACTGTCCTCTCCTATATATAAGATATTTATTTTTTATACCATGTAGCAGTGCTATTTTTCTAACTATAATCATCTTTCAAATCATGTGAAATTTTTTTCTTCTTTTTCCATAGCCGGAAATGAAACCATCTGACATTGAGAATGGTATCAGCGTCTACACAAAGGTAAGATTTATTTGTAAAAATAGGCACCAAGTGTTACATATTCAGCCTTCATTCCTCCTATTGTAATTTCATGTACATCCCCATGCAATGCCAATAATTAAAGCCCAGCGCACACTATACTATCGTATTGTGATCCGATTGAAGGAGTGGCAGGAAGACAGGAAATCTAAACAAACATCATCTTCCTGATTTAACTTCTAAATAATGATAAGAATTAATACTGACAACTGGGGGGCATTTCACAAAACTTGTCATCAGTGACAAATGACAGTTTTTGTTATAAGCTAGTGATATACTTGCCTCTGATTGGTCATCAGCAGATTTGTCACTGATTTTTGTCATTTGTCATTGAAAAAAGGCTTTGTGAAACACCCCCCAAGAGTTTTAGTCCATTGAACTCTTCTAGTCAGAATAAAAGCTGAATTAAATCGTAGACATTACTGTTGCACTATACTGGTCTGATGTCACTACGATTCTGAGCTGATTTTGCTTTTCCTCTTCTAAGAAAGCATGAAATCCCTTGAAATTTGGATTTTCTTAATCATACTGTTCAGATCCTCGTCCATTAAGATTCTACATGTTTGAATGTTTGAAACAAATGCTATTGCAAATCGTTTGAAAATTTGATCTGAGTCAGATCATATAGTGTGCTATGGGCTTTATACTTTTATTGTGCAGCACTGTAATGAACCCAGCGGCTGTATAATGCTCTTGATATGGTGGTTCATGTGGGGTGAATAGCATTATTTAATTGTCTATTTTCCCCCGGAAACATGCATATGCTTTGATATCCTCATTCTCTAAATGTATAGGTTGATTGAGAAATAATTGATCCCTAACCTGCCGTGTCATTGGCTGTGATATGATGCCAACTAAACAAATTTATTTTGGAATGATGGGTCAAAATATGCAAATGTTAAGAATTACATAAAAATATTGATATTAAAGGTCTGATGAAGTTTTTGAAGTATGCTAGTGAAACTGTATGTTCTGTGAATAGACTTTATGAATTCACATGGCTTTTTTTTTCCATATTTGATTTGAAATTGCTAGAATCCTGAGGGTCCTTTTGGCAATGTGCTCCTGGATGGTGTGAAGTGTACGATGCTGGGCAGCGTGGAGCTGTCCACACCAAGTGACGGTAAGTAAAGACATCAAACAAGATGCCTTCAGATTCAACTATGAGTGTCTGTGACTTGCATTAAAGGCATCCTTTAAACAAATTAAATCTGAGATGCATGGCCCTATGTGTTATCAGTGTCTGTGATATGGTGTTAAAATTGTGGCCCTAAACAAGATTGTGCTTCAAAATGATCATGAAGTAAAAATCTTTTAAATACCGGTTTTACCATGGTATTCATTTTCCCTAATAGACTGTAGTGTTATAAAAACCATTGAGAAAACGGTTTGTGAAATTTGAATTCCAATCTTAAATATCTTGATAATCAGACGGGCGATCGGCTTGTAAACATCATGGGATTCCTGACTGACCTAAAGGTTTATAATAATGATTGCAGCATCAGCTAAATCCATGATTATGTTAGGGAAGAAACCTCGTCTTATCGTCTTCCCCAGTATTGCTTCTGCGCATGTGCTGCCCTGCACAGTGTGGGAGGAAGGTCGCCATCTAATCTAGTGTCGAACATCTTAGGGTAGGGTCAATTTAGAGCCTTTTCCTAGTCAGTTTGGACCTCCTTTACGATAGCTAGAAAAGAATTTTGATCATGGAAACTGTTTCCAGACAATAAGATATGCAACATTATTCCTCATATGAACACAAATTATGGCTTCTGTTTTTGAGGATGCATTCTTTTCTTTTTGCCACATATTGTTTAGGTGTGCTCTATGTGTTTGAGAAGGGCATCATCTTCAGTCATCCACGCAATGGTCTCACAGTACTACCAAAGTCATACTATGAAGAGCTCCAGTTCTATGATGGGGTAAGTTAGGAGAGATGGTGGTGAGGGGTGTGTAATCTTTAAACTTATCATTTTTTTCTCCTCTTTTAAAAAATCCATTCTCTTGATTTCTTTATATAGGATGGGTTTTGCCCACATCCCTTCTCGTCTTATACTCCTGTATAATGCTGCACAAGATTTTACTGATCTGATGTAAGATGACAGGAAGGTGCACTAGTGTACTACTAGCATCTTCTAGCTGGCATTGGATCTCCTAACCAAAGACCAGGGATGCCAGTTTTCAGGCAATAGCCTGAACTCAGGCCCTAGCAAGTTGTTTTCAGACCATAGTTTAGGCTTTTTTGTGTACAAAATAGCTCATTCTAGGTGATTTTCAGGCCCTCTCATCAATTCTAACTGACATCCCTGCAAAGACGCACTAACACAGATGACAGACACCTGTTATACGGCTAACTACCACCCTACAGAGGCCTTGTAACCTGACACAGCTTCCTCGATTATGTCCCACCACCCGAGCAGAATCCTCCACCATCAGCCAAGCCCATCCATACTCGTCAAAGGAATAAACCTGAAGTGGCTGGAGAAGAAATGCCTAAATCGAATGAGGACAAGAATGGGGTAGTGTAAGGCCAACGTGGCAAGATAGTGCTATGCCCATGAAGAAGATACTCTGTGCGACTGCGGAGAGATTCAGACGATGGACCACATCTTGCAGTGCGGTGGAACAGGTTGCACAGATGCAGACCTGGCCCTTGTAAATGAGATGGAAGAACTTAATTTAATTTAATTTAATTTAATTTAATTTAGGAACTTTACATTACTCTTGATCTAAGGAGACACGAACGAAGGAACGAGCAAACTAGCATCTTTGATGAATATCATCTCTTTCTCTCATTCCTCCCACTCTCTAGGGTTCATCCAGCGTGTTAGCCTGTTTGATGATCACCTACAGGCATTCCCTACAGTACTATCAACCCCTGCAGAACCACAACACAGGAGACATGGTCATGTTCACCTTCCCACCCAAGACCAACGCCTACAGAATGATGTATAAAGAGGTCAGTGTATAGGTCATGGAGGGGTTACACAGGTGTCAAGTAGGGTTCTGAAGGAGTCAAATGCTATATTATATGATATGGTCCTGTTCCCCTTACCCACTATAGACCAATGCCTACAGACCGCTTTACAAAGATGTCAGTGTATGGGTCATGGCATGGTCCTACTGGGCTCAAACGAAGTAAAACGCTATATTATATTGTTCAATGATATGGTCATGTTCATCTTCCCACCAAAGAACAATACCTACAGAATACTTTATAAAGAGGTCAGGCAATGGTCAGGCAGGGTCTAACAGAGGTCGCCATTAATGTTTTATGTCTGTCTGTTCCCTACAGGTGATTGGAAGATGGCAGCAAGAGAATGAATCTCCTGTTCTGAAACAGGTGGATGTCGTGCCTGAATACTATGCCAATAGGTAAGTATACTGTCTATGGTGGGTGGGTATTTGATGGTTTGATGGTTCACTTTACCTGACTTCTAAGAAAGCATGTGTATGCTTGTAAGTAAGCAACCAGGGGACCGACGGCTTTCCGAAACTCTCATGCTTGCTTTAATTCCTGTATTAAACTGGACAGCAGACTCCTATGAATCGTACAAGACACCATCGTACTAGACTTAAACCGTTTGTTTGTTTGTTTTATTTATCCACCATGTAGAATAATTATTTACAGATAATAAAATTCAATGGGTTTCATCGAGATATAATAATAATAATAATAATATAATAATAATAATAATATAATATCATAATAATAATAGTGTGACAATGTATATGATACATTCTCTATTCCTGTGATGTTTGACGGGTAGAGTGTCTCTGCTTGATCCACTCTTCAGATACAATGAGTTGGAGCATAACTTTGAGACAGATGCAAGAATGATGAAAAAAGTTCCATCTCTCACCCAGGCCAATGTGTACCTCTCCACACTCAACAGGTAAGTGAAAAAGAGAGAAAAAAAAAAAATTCTCAAAACTTTTGAGATGACAAAAAAAAAAAAGTTTTATACTGTGATCATGAAGAGGAATAGCTCAGACATACCCCAGTCATCTCAATTAAGACCATCAAAAGACCAAACACACAAAAGAATTGTGCAACCCTAGTTAGCCAAGATTGTGTTTGGAGCCGGTCTGGTGATTTGACTGGAGGGGATCTTGGAATTAAAATCTCCTAATAAATATTCCGCTTTTATATAGCACTTAATACATCTACGATGTCTCTAAGCGCTTTACAGATAAACAGATATTCTAGAATCCAATAAAATGACACTGAGTGATTAAAGCTACACACAAAAAAAGATAACTTGTACTGATTGATTTGCTGAAGAAAAATCATATAATTTGTCACTTGTGCAGTTAGTTACAAAATAACAATGACATTTTATTAATATTGTGTTAAGGACATATGTAGGTTATGATTTATCATAGTAATATTAATAATGATAATAATAACAAAGTCATTTATATAGTGCTCTTACATGTATATAAATTACATGGTTTCACAGCGCTTCACAGAGTTCAAATATATTAACAAGTAGCAAAACTAGAGTACTTTCATGCGTGGGTTCCTGTTTCACTGATACATATTAACTACTATGTTGCATTAAAGGTATAGACCAATTTTGAAAATGCCCCCCTCTCAAAAAATGAACTGGAAGCTCTTATTACCAATCATGCAAAAGAATATGTTTTGACTAATACATGATGATACAAATTTTGCCGGGGAAACCACCTACTAATTGATATATTTGGTAAATTATCATATCGATCCGGCCTGGATAGATATCGCAAATGCACTTCATCATTGAACATTTGCACATATACTCTGCGTTTTTGCAAATTTAGGTTGAAGTATTGCCTTCTAAACCTCTGAAGGCAATATTCTAACAATATTGAATGGATATTTTGCACCCAAAACCCTTGAACCACAATTTTACCACTACCAGTCTATACCTTTAAATGAAATTTATTCTTTTTCCTTTCAGTTTCTTGTCTCACCTGTCGGTAAGCAGTGTTGACCCTGCTCCGGTCCGTAAGGCTGACCTCCCATCCATCCTGGATCCATCCACTGAACAGTCCCAGCCTAGCTCAGATCCAGATGAGGTAAGAGATATGGGTCTCTTGTCTACCCAGAGAAAAATTATTAATATGAACAATGATGTAGTACCTTCTACCATGGAATTAGCTATGATTACATTTGTAGAGATGTAGGGTTAGGATTAAGATTAGGGTTAGGGTTAGTGTCAGGGTTGTGAGTGGGTTCTAGAAGAAGTTAGAGTTAGGTAAAGGGATCCAGGATCAAAGTTATAACATTGCTTATAGTGTAGGAAACCATGGAGCAATTGTCACCATAGCATGTGTTGTAGAACCTTGAATACCTTCCAGCTTAAACCAATCAGAATCAGAGTTTGCGTTGCTACTTCTTGCAAAGTGTATTGTAATTGGCTAGTCAGGAGGGAAATGAATAGGTTTACTTTCAAGGCTTCGTATTGTATGTATGACATACATGTACAGTCTCTTTTTAGCCCCATTTGTTGAAACTAACTGGTATCCTTGATATCAACAGGTCCACGTAGGGTTTTAACATTTTCAAAGATGATCATGAATTTATCATGGAATTATATCACTGAAGATAGAAGGAAAGTCTTTGAGGATTGTTGTCACATGATTTTCACCAGATCCTACTTCTCTCTCTCTCTCTCTCTCTGTGTCTCTCTGTGTCTCTTTCTCTCTCTCTCACTCTCTCCATCACTCTTTCTCTATCCCTCTCTCTCTCTCCCCCCATCTTTCTCTCACTCTCTCTCTCTCCCTCTCTCCCTCCCTCCCTCCCTCCCTCCCTCCCCCTCTCTCTCTCTCTCTCTCTCTCTCTCTCTTCAGGTTGTGATCACCCTGTTGACCGGTATAACAGGGAGCCACAAGGAGACCCTCTGTACCACCCTCACCAACCTAGCAAAGGATTATAACAGGTGGGTACAATTCGCCTTCAATCACATTTCTTCTAAGTTCACTTCTTTGCCTCTAGAGGAGTGTTTCACAAGACTAAGATCGACTTTAAGTTGGACTTAATTGTGGCATGCCATTCACGCCACTGTTTGCTCTCACCATTTTCACATGTAGCTAATTAATGATTTCATTATGTTATTATTTCTGGTTGAATCGCTCTATCATATACAGGTGAAGTAAATGGGTACCTGGTAAGAACTTATTACTTGAAATGCTAGAGCGCCGTATAGCAGCCGTGCTAAAGCCAGGTTAATAATTGGGAGCGCCAGGAGGGTCAAATCTGGAGCGCCAGGAGAGTCAAATCTGACTGACATGAGCGCTATACAAGAACCCTTTATTATTATTATTATTAATGTATGTTAATGCGTCCTTGTGTTAAAAAAATGTACCGTTATAGAGCATAGAGAATGCGCTTATAAATTGTTATGCGCTATACAAGCACTTTCTATCATTATTATTAATGATGTATATATTTGCCGTTTTACACAAACCTTACATCATCTCTTTCCTAATCATAGATGGGCTGTCTTGAGGGCTCCCTTTGGCGTTCCTCATGCATACAACCAGAAGCAGCTTGAGGCCTCACTGACAAACATCGTCACGGCAGCAAGACGACAGAGGGCGTCGATCAGGGCTTCCACCGGAGGCAGGAAGAAGATGAGAGTTCTCATCATGACACCAGGGTAAGATGAAAGCAAGCCCTTCAAAATAATAATATCAGATATTTATATAGCGCATATATCCACCATGCAAGGTGCTCAAAGCGCTCCAAATATAACCCGGCTCTGCTAGGCTGCAGATTTCGGGGCTCAACAGCAGTCAAGGAATTACTTCCTACCGATACCCATTTAACACCTGGGTGGAGAGTGGCAAATTTAGATTAATATCTTGCCAAAGGCGCGAGTCGAACTGCGGACCCTGTGATCCACAGTCCAACGACTTATCCACTCGACCATAATGCCTTTACCACACCTCCACAATCAAGAGTAACTGCAGACATATTTGTTATTGATGATATCTTATTGTTATTGCTATTATTATTATATATTTGTTGATGCTAATGGGTTTATGTAACAATCATTTCCAGGTTCACGGACACAGTCTCTGTGGTGTCGGCCATCTTGAATCACCCCAACGCTGACATCAGAGGCTCCCTGAAGATAGGAGCTGTGACGGCTTGTGTGGATCCGCTCACAACCTTCATTGAACACAGGTATAGGCACTTGTTATCTCCTTTAGATTGTCGTCCCATTCCATGAAAAACAGTGCTGGGGAAGAATAATTAAAGCCCCACTGTACTACTTCTAGCTACTTGCGCCCTCTATACAGCAAACAATGCCTAATCAGTGCCTGTTGGTCCCCCATGATCCCCTTGTTCTTATGTAATTGAGAGCTTATTTGATGAGATAACCACCTGTCAGTGACCTTGCAGGGTGGTCTAATCCCCCCTGGCCAAACTAGTACAGACGGGCATTAAGATCAAACACAATATCTGGAAAATTTTGGTGATTTTGGTTAAGCACTATAAAAAAAAAATTCTAACAATGAATGTCAATTCCAGTCTTTTGGTGAGAGTAAAACTCTCCTTTACTGTAAATTTTGTGTTCAGTCCCAAACTTCATGTTTTGTGATGTACTTGATCAACCTACCTAGGGGTAAATATAGGATTTCTAAAAATAGGTTCTTAATGAAATTTAGGGAAATGTAGAGATTGCATAACTTTCTTCATGAGTGCTCCTCTATCCAAACATGGAAACTGCATGTGTTTTATGGAGTGTAATAATTGTGTTTTTTTTGGTTTAATTATGATTTGTTTCAGAATGACATTCCCCTTGTTACTTGATCAGTGTGCTCAAGGCTGGGTCAATAACATCCTACTAACCAGCTGCACAGAGGGACCGGTAAGTAGAGGAAGCTTCTTTTATATTCTTCTATATCTTCATCGAATCCATCGCTCTTGTTTCCTCTTTTTCAAGTTTTCCTTCTTTGTAATTATCTTCATCGTCATCATCATCTTCATCTTCTTTGTAATCATCATCATCATCATCATCATCTTCATCATCCCTATCATCATCACCATCATCGCCATTACATCACATTACCTTCGTCATCATCATCACCATCACCATCACCATCATCATTATCATCATCATTATCATAATCATAACCATCATCGTCAACCTCATCAACCTCATCATCATCATCATCCTCATCATCATCATCATCATCACCATCATCATCATCATCATCATCATCATTATCATCACCATCATCACCATCCCCATCACCATCATCATCATAATCACCATCACAATCATCATCATCATCATCATCATCATCACAATCATCGTCATCATCATCATCATCATCATCATCACAATCATCATCATCACCATCACAATCATCATCATCATCACAATCATCATCATCACAATCATCATCATCATCATCATCATCATCATCATCATCACAATCATCATCATCATCATCATCATCATCATCACAATCATCATCATCATCATCATCATCATCATCATCATCACAATCATCATCATCACCATCACAATCATCATCATCATTATCACAATCATCATCATCACAATCATCATCATCATCATCATCATCATCATCATCATCATCATCATCATCATCATCATCATCATCATCATCATCATCATCATCATCATCATCATCATCATCATCATCATCATCATCATCATCATCATCATCATCATCATCATCATCATCATCATCATCATCACCACCACCACCACCACCACCACCACCACCACCACCACCACCACCACCACATTTTATTTGCTAATCTACAACTTCATCATCTTTACCATTACATTCACCTCAATAAAAAATGACCTTTTCTGTTATCTTTTGAAAGTGCAGAACAAGCTTCAAACTCCTGATTGATAATACAAAATGTAAATTTGAAAGTTCAAGAAGAGGTATCAACCTTTCACAATAGGCAAGTGAACTAAAGACAGTAAATTAAGTTAAAATAGCTTTCATGAAGTATAAATCAGGGCCCCGTCTTACAAAGAGTTGTGATTGATCCAAATCAATCGTAAGTCCTCCAATCAATCGCAAGTTTGCAGTCTCCTATCTCTTATGTACATAGTTGCGATTGATATTAATCAGTTGTGCTTTCTATTAACATATGATGTCTCTCTTGCCTCTTAGCATCCAGAGCTTATGTTCATTCAGGAGCTCCTGCGCAAGGTCAACTCTGACATGGCCTTTATCCTAGCCAATTATGGAGAAATCTCAAGGTAAATATTCTTCAAAAATAATCCTTTAATTGAGCCTACAATTCATGTATATAATAGGCGTTGTGGCGTGCGCCTGTAATCCAGCTATAAGTGGAAGTTACAAATTGATTCAGCCGAGGACGCAGGTTCGAAGCTGAATCACGTCTTTCGGATGGTGACGTTTAAAGGTCGGTCCCCAGACGTAAATAATCATATCTGATTGATACACGTCTGTTAAAACCCAATACACACACACACACACACACACACAATACATAGGTGGATCCACAGGAAAGACATTGGCCTTTTGTTGAAGTGTATGTTCAGCTATCCAGATGTTCTTTTTTTTTCATGGTCTTAAAACATTTAAGGATATATTTTAACCAAAATATAAAAACTTGATTTTCAATCCTTAACAAATTGTGTATTTTGCTTAAACTCCTCATTGACTGTTTTAATCATTAAAAAAAAAAAATGTCATTACAATACCCTTCAACCCTTTTAACCAAAATGTGTATTTATTTACATATATCTGTATACATGTGTACTGATCTGTCTGTCTTGTCTTGTTGCTCAGGTTTTATTTGATATTGTTCATTCTTTCTTTCAGGAGTGGTGATGCTGAATTGATTCTCTCCGAGACGGCTTTCATGGAACCAAGCAAAGTGAGAGCAAGACATCTGCTCATCCCACAATGGTAAGAGAGGGATCTACATCAGGGGAGTGTTTCACAAAGACTAAGATCGACTTTAAGTTGGACTTAACTATGGCAGGCCATTCATGCCACTAGTTCCTCTCACCATTCCTGGCATTGGTTTCTCAAGGGACGTAGGAATCGTGGTCACAAATCTACAGAATTCACCTTCTTTGATGGTTCATTAATGAAGGAAAAAACATCTAAATATCATAATTGAGAGACCAAAGGTGACTGCAACCAGTGGCATGAATGGCCTGCCATAGTTAAGTCCAACTTAAAGTCGATCTTAGTCTTTGTGAAACACCCCCAGGTATTAAATAAGGTATTACATCATGCACTCCAAACATAGTCATGGGCATTGCTAGGTTTGGAGCGGAGTGATGCAGTTCCAGACTAATTAAACCCTACATGTATATGAGGAAATCCATCATTGTGTAGCGGAGGATTTTGTTTATTGGCATATTTTGCTTTTCTCTGAGCACATGACTCGACTTGATAATATCATCTTATGTGGAGTAGGCATATTCACAATGAATTTGCATTAATTAAGCATGACTCATCGCCTCAGCTACATGTATATAGGTGAACAGATGGGGTCCACGTGTTATGTCGTCACTGTAACTTCAGCAAATTTGACCACTGTTGACCCGTAATTTGGAGGGGTGCGGAAAATGAGGTTTCAATTTGCTTTTGTGCAATAATGAAAGGGTAAATACTTTTTATTCCATTATATTTGTATTCTACATTCATTCAGTTTTCCATTTATATCAAGTTGTATTTTAATCGGATAGGGTCTTTAATATAATTATTTTGCATATATTGCACAAAGACAAGTGATCAATAATATGCATATTCCCTGCTGTTTATCATTCACACAGATGTACCTGATATAAGTTATATATGATAGTATCAAGTGGATAAATAGTAAATATAATATTGTCTGGCTCATTTTTCAGGTGATATATATACATGTAAGACTATGTTGCCCTCAATGAATAACCATATTGCCCTTGTCTTTGGCCGAATGCTATGGATGGATTTAGTCAGGCAATGTACATGTAGTACCTCATATATATCTCACTCAAAGGCGGTCAATATTTAAAGAATTATTAGCAAACACCTAGTTTTATTGGCCTTGGATATATCTGACCTTGTTTCTCAACCCAGGTCATCGCCAGAGTTCAGCAGGCAGTTGACCCCAGCCATGACCGAGGTCAGTCTGAAGTTCAGCCAGCCACTGGACAGGTCAAGACTCCTGCCCAAGATGAGAAGCCTCCGGTCATCCCTGGACGCCAGTCCTTTCCAGGGTAACATCTACCACATTGAAGCAAGGACAAGATTCAATGGTATGTATCTTTTAGATTTCATTAACCCGTAGCAGTGCACAGTATTTTAAAGGACCGAATCCCAAGAAATGACTTTACTTATTCTGAGAGATCTATTATATCATTGCTCGTTAGTCTACAAGATTCCCCACCAAAATGTGTGAGAGAGGTATAAAGCAAGTATAATGTAATTTCTCAGCATGACATGGACATCGTCATTTTCTGGATAACGTGACGTACTATGCGAAGTCGTTTATCAAGTAAATGTATTCAAATTTATGGATGCTTCCTTCCCAGACGTGTGGTGATGAAACATTTCATTCACCTGCTATTATCCTTTGTACTATAATTGCCAGAACGCAAATTGCATAAATAAGTCGGTGCTCTTCTTGGATGAAGGTTTCTCCTAGATGAAATAGATTTGTCAACTGCTATAATGTAGTATTTTTAAATGAATTTAGTTACATTTGTTCCCCTGTTATTTATTTGTCACCAAATATAATTTCTATCTTTTCCGTTATGATTTTTCTTCAATGAAAAGTAAAGGTTTCGTTATTGATTTAACAATTATTTCCAACTAAAGCTTGGTGCATGATACGTGTACAACTTCAACCGGTACGTCACATTTTCAAGAAAATGGCTGCGCCCATATCATTCTCAAAGGCATCATGCCAGGAATATCTTCATTTATTTATCTCTTGTACATTTTCGTAAGGAATATTGTACATCAAAGGGCAGGAATACATCTCATTTTTCAGAATACCTACACTTATTCTTTGGGGTTAGGTTTCCTTTAAAGGTCTATTATAATAAATCACATTTTTTCTCCTCAAATTGGCACCAGTTATTCCTATTTTCAACTCCTACATAGTTGGAAAAAAGAATAAAAAGGAATATGAAATGAACCAATGTGAATGAAAATGACTTAATTCAACAAAAACTTGTCAATTTGTACACAAAAGTAGTGATTATATTAAAATTGGTGCGTTGCCAGAACGAATCCTCACTTGCTTTGTTTTTTCTGGACATGATGAAACTTTGCCAAATGGTGAGTCTTGAATAGAAGAAATTCTGGTAAACAAAAAAAGTTCACCTTTTTGCATCATGCCAATGCTTTGAAGTCTTTTTTTTAATTAAAATTTGATTTAAAGACACATATGAGTGGGCTCTCATGGGCAATTGATTCAATGCCATTTGGATGTTTACCTAACAGTTGTTGTCAATCACCAGGATTATCCTTCAGTTTCATAACCAACAGGCCTTATGTAATGCTTTGCATTTTCCCCCTGTCCCCCCTCATAATCTTACATTTCCCTCACCCAAAGGCTCTCCTGAGTTTAGGGGGTATTTTTTATAGGACTACAGGTTTGATGTGTGGAAGAATCGTGTTTTGAAAAAAGGAATATTTTCCTATTTCATTTTGTCCTTATTACAGAATCAAGTCAGGTGATGGAACTGACCTACTCCACTATGAGCGGCCATCTGACCGAGTGCCCCGCCCCTGAGGTACCGGCTGCTAGACCCCCTACCGGTACCCCCAGACCTCCCCCCTCACCAGGGGCTACCACCAACGGCCGGCCTGCCGAGGCTGGAGGGGATAACAACGGCCACGAGGGTCTTCAGCATTGCTTCATGTTCACAGGGTGTGGTCTGCAGGAGGATGCGCTCAAGGAGTGGCTAAGGGCTTGTGCAACACCGGTGAGTAACATGTCTGCTTTTAAAGGCATCGTTTAACAATGTTAAATCTGAGATGCAGGGCCCTATGAGTCATCAGTGTCTGTGATATGGTGTAATATTGAAGCACTAAAAAAAGTAAAAATCTTTGAGTAACCCGTTTTACCATACTCATTTTCCTCAATAGACTGTAGTGTTATAAAAACCGTTGGAAAAACAAACTTTTTAATTTCGATTTCCAATCATAAATATCTTGATAGTCAGTCAGACGATCGGCTTGTAAAATTCAAAAATTGAAGTATTTTACACTTTTCATAAATTTCACATCAAGAACATGAAATCTCCTTGATAATAGAAAATATGAATCATTTGAATCAACATCTTATGCCTTTTAAAATAGCTTTTACAATATATTTCCAAAGATGCTAACGGCTTTCCATAATTGTTAAGTCCAACTTAGAGATAAATTCAACTTAGGATCTTTTTGAAACACCCCCCAGGAGGTACTTTTATTGCGTGGATAAAAATCCATGGTGCATGTTCAAATTGCTCCTAATTCAAAGAGTTTTTTTCTCACTTTCTGCAGATGGTACATCTTATCTCATTAGTGGGTGATACAACAAATTCCTCTCTAGACCTTTGCAATATTCAACTCTAGGGTTAAGTTGCTAATTGAATTCTATGTAGGTTTAGAGATAGGATTGATCAAGGTTGAGCAAGTTTTAGGTCCAGGATTAGGAAGTTAAGACATTATTTGATGTTAGAAATGGTCAATTGATTTTAGAAATGGAACGTGGCGTAATTGTCACAAGAGTGCATGTTTTGCATTCACAAACTCTCATGTATCTATTAATGTGTTCCATTTGATTCATGTTATGCATATTAACAATTGCCGTTCATTTATCTCATTTTCATAGAAACCAACTCCTAAAGCTTTGAAGACCAAATCCACTCTGTCAGCTTCTGAGAAGAAACAGCTCCATGTAAGTGTTTGGTATAAATCATCTTTAGATTTTTAAACGTTTTTATTCTTACCTATCATATCTGCCATAATAATTGACAGAATCTAAGTTTGTATCTGGATTGTAACTATTGTATTCAATCAGAATACAGATTTTTCAAAAACCTTAGATGATAACCTTGTTATGATTACTAAAGGTACATGTATCTGTCCATCTCTCTCTAACTTCACCCCCCAAAAAAATTTGTAATTTTAAGGTCATGAGGCATTAAAATGTTTTTATCAGAAGTTAAAAAGTTAATGTGGTTTCCAAAATATTTTTTTGCCACGACAAGAGCTCTAGATTAGGGATATATTCATTTTTGCATTCATATGGAAAAGGTGATTTTTATTTTAAATTTATTAAGCGCCAGGACGTGGTGAACATGTGCGCTATATAAGTAGCCATTATTATTATCATTATTATTATTTCACTAAATAAAGCTTTGTTGTGATTTTCTTCCTCTCAGGAGAAGCATCATCTGGCCCCACTACCAGCAGGCTGGTTCTACAATGGTAGTCAATATGTCAGCATGTCTGGAGAGAAGGCCAATACACACCCAGGTCAGTGTTAATTTTCCAGGGAATGTGTAAAAAGTGTGTTAAAGTATATGACTTAACGCCTTCCTGGCCTCCAAACAGACGTAATATTGATGTGTATTTCTACACTAAACGCTGGGGTGTTGTAAGAAAGTTGCAATCAATTGCAAATCCCCAAAATCAAGCTTAAGTCTTGCGATTTGATCGCAACTCGACTTTCTTGCAAGGCCCCGTTAGTAAGAGAGAGAGAGAGAGAGAGAGAGAGAGGGGGGGGGGGGGGGGAAGAAAAGCTAGATCTTGTTATCTCAATTTAATTGTATAAACTTTAATCCTAACAAATCCTAGGAAATTTAGTAGGCTATAGTGGGGCGTTGCAAGAAAGTTGAATTGCAGTTGATTGCAAATATCAATTACAAATTTTGCAACTTGCATTCAATTGCAACTGCCTTGTAATGCCCCATAGTCTTGTCAAAAGATCATTTGCCATTTGGCTTATGAGCTAGTATGAACTAGTATGTGTTATTTTATTTCTGTCTATATCATGATTACCATGGACTCAGAAACATTGTTTTGACATCTACACCATCGACAAATATGATGAGGGAATGAGCTGTTGTGATACTTGTAGATGTTTGTAAATCTTTATATTGAGTATTGAGAGCCCTAGACTCTATCCATATCAGTCTCCCCACTCCCTTGCAGAAAAATCTACCTCTCTTTCTTTCTGTCTGTCTGTCTCTCTCTACCTATGTCTCTCTGTCACTCTTTCTCTCTCTGTCACTCTTTCTCTCTCTCTATCTATCTCTCTCTCTTTCTCTTTCTCACTTACACTCACTCTCTCACTTTTCTGTTTTTCCAAGTCAAATCAAATACCCTATATCTCTCGTCTTGTGGATATTTCCTTTCTCTCATGTTACCCGTGTCAATTGGAATTCTATTGTTTAACTACATGAACTCCTATCTCTACCTTCTTTAATACCCATCACAGAAATGGACCAGTTCATATCAGAGTTCGTAGAGAAGACCAACCTTGCAACCAAGGAATACAACGATGGGATCGCTGCTCAGGGGTACAAGGATCTGTTCCAGTGAATCAGGGCCATGTTATGCCTCGGCCACACCCACGCCTGGTCGCCCCGTCATCAAACCGACCCCACACTGAATCCAATACGTTCGATCGTTTTGGCCTTCAGGGGTTATTTATTCTTTTGATCAGTCTGGTGTTGGTCTCGTTGGTGTGACTGGAGTACTGAGCATTGTTAGAACCTGTCATAATTACGAAGTTTGTCATAAAAAAACAAAGAGTGAGAAGGAAAAAAAGAGAAAAGGTTTACTATGTCATTGTTGGATGTTATAATGCTATTTACGGCTTTGACATGATAAAACCCAGGTTTTTGAATTGTAGCCTAACTCTCAATGATATCATTTCTAAATTTTGCCCTCCGTACTATTCCTAGATGGTAATACATGTAATATCATTAGGTATAAAGGATCTCGTGTGGAAGCTTTGAGCATTATAAAGTTTTGGTATGACATATACTGCAACATGTTTCTGATGGTCTTTTTAATTTAAACCGATGCAAAAGGGAAGTGTAAATTCATATGATTTAGTGCTTTTAGATGATCTTTTCATAAATTTCACTGGCCTGATTATTTTCTTTCAAAGTAAAATTTTCCTGAGTTTCCTTTTTATTAATGGGGGAGGGGGCAGTTTGGAGGATAATAATTATTGCAAACCTTCAATTAGAGGTTTGGGTTATTGTAACCAAACACCAATGTGTATAGACAATCTTTTATTTATTTATTTGGTTTTTTTAGTGACTGATGTAATGTTGATTTAGTTTCATACACTCTGCAGTAAACCCAGAAAGGTGCTTGAGGTGCGTTTAAATGAGTCACTCAAAAGAAATGACTGAAGATTTTTTTTTTTGCTGTCGGGTTTCTCAAAAGACTGCACTTTTTAACCAGTTCATACGTGGACATACAAGTACATATGCGATTAATTGTATGCGACTAAGAATGCACCTCGTTCTCACTGTACAAAACGTTGATCACCTCTACAGCCCGATTGTCTACCGTAATTATATAAATAATTATAAATTTCTGTTGATCTGAATTTTTTTGAAATTAGAATTTATGTCTTTCAGCTAAAAGGCCATGTACAGCAAAAGATATTTTAATGGGGGTAAGTCTATCTGTAATAAAGATTATTTACCCAATTCAAGAAGAGGTCTTTCTTATATTATCATTAGGCTTATTAATACAGTAGCTTGAAGGTACATTGACATTTTACAATTAAAGTCTGTTGTGTGTCAGGCAGAAGGGCATTTATACCACATGCCACAAAGCATATTTCTGGTAAGTAAATTATAAGGTTTTGATAGCTTTGATTTTAATGCTATCAGTTTATGAGGCTTTCGTATGCAATAATATTTCGTGAATTCATCATAATCTTAGTATAGCAAATTGTCACATGTAACAGCATTTCCTTCAAGGATGCAGCATTTGAAACTTGTTTGATATTTACATTTTTTTTTTAAATAATTTTTATTATTATTACCTTTTTTGGGGGAGGGGGGGGGGGGGGACAAAGGTTGATTGTGATGTGCTGAAATTGATATCCCTTTAGACTGATTGCTTTATCACAATGAGCAAGTCACACAGAAGAGCAATTCTTCAATGTTATGACAGTGCACTTCAAAAAGAGAGAAATTATTTGTATGATCCTTATGTGCTAAACATTTTCACAAGTAGTTTCTAAAAGTTTGTTGTTGAAACAGAAAGGAAAGTGCATGTAATATATTAGATGTGATGTTAGTTTTCATAAGTATACATTACTTAGAAGTTGTACATATGTTTGTGGCTAAACTTACTGCCACTTTTGTGTTCTTTACCTCTTTCTATGTGTATAGTTTATATTTATAGTTTTAGTTTTTTGCGTTCCTTTAGTTATTTTAAAGAGAAAGAGAAGAAAAAAACTGAAATGAGGTCTTATATCATCTGTGAAGAGCAAGAAGCGTTTTACTCGGGTATTAGATGAGTTTAATGTCCTGGTTCCGAGCTGATGACACGGTTTTGTGTATTCATTCCAATTAAAGACCAAATTAGACAGCCTTCAATTGCTATATGATCCGTCCAAAAGAACAGTGTCATTCTATTGACGATAAAAAAAAAAACCTTGAATATCACAGATATCTTTATCTTTATGTGTACTTTAAAGATAGTTTTTAATGATAAGAAAGAAAAAGAAGTTTTTAAGCATGAGCTTTGTTGAAAATTGTTTCAAGGTACACTAATGTTTGATGTGCTTTGCAAATAAATTGTTCTAAAAGAAATTATGCTATGCTTGTGAATACTTTTTTACCATGAAATTATACCCGAGTGCAAGTGACAGCCGATGCTTCGGTTTGTGGAAGGTCGAGAGCTGCATGTTGCACATCCTTTATAGATATCTAAACTTCTCTCTGTCCGTCTGTATCTCTCTCTCCCTCTCTCTACCACTACCAGGTACCATTCCCTCCATATCTCTTTCCTCTCCCTCCTCTCTAAGAGTGATGTGCATATATATGTCCTTTGATGCAGGGGTATCATCTCCACTTCTCTCCGTCTGCCTCTCTATCCCCCCCCCCCCTTCTCTTTCACTCTCTCTCTCTCCCATCTTTTTCCCTCTCTCTCTCTCTCACCTGATTTATTCTGGTAATTGCTTCTGCAGTCAAGACCAGGATAAACATTGTAAAACAAGAACCTTTTCGTGAATGAAACTTGGACAAACTTGCAAATGGTCATTACCGACTACTCACAAAGTTCTATGTCATGAAAGTCTCTGGTTTTTTAGCGCTATGGAAATGCATATGAATATCATGACAAGTACTATACAAAAAGGGAATATCCTTTTTGCTATCTAACAAGATTGAATGAATTTGCAATCTTAAAAGTAATTCTACATATTACATACAGAGGCGATACCTTACGGCGTAGTAAAAGACACTTCTTTCAAATGAGACATTTCTATTTGACCACCTCAGGAAATAAAATAACTAAAACAAAGGCAAACATAAATCCATGTACTCATAAGTTCCTTTGATAATGCTTTATTCAAATTCCATTTTACATGAAATAAGATATTTTTTTATTCTTTAAGAATACCATGAAAATCAAAGTTGGAAAATGTGGATGTTTTTGCTAAACCCAGTAGAATTAAATGTTCATGTGGGCAGGCTCAAAGGCTATTATTAAATATATAAATCTCTCTGCATTCTGCAAAACACAACACATCAGTTCATTTTTTTACAGGATGATTTACACGACAGTCCAGGTGCGAAAAGGGACTAGCAGTTACAAGTGTTAGTGATGTTGCTTGGGTGACCTCGAAGAACATCAGAGACTAGTGAAGATTTTAAGTTATCCGGACTCCCTACGATCCAGACTGTTTTTGTTGTCTATAGAGGCTGTCTCGGTCGTGATGCTTGATGATGGTGTGGTGGTGGTGCATCGCTCCTTAAGTCATGTTACCGTGGTGATTAGGGATGCTCATCAATGACATCACTCTACGATGGGGTTTCCCCTTGAAGCTACTTGTGACTGCTGGTCAACCTGGGCATGAAGATGGCTCTAGTCGAAAATACTGCCTTCTCCACCTAGGAAATGGAGGGGAAAAAATGACTAATTTAAACATAGAAGCATTATAAAAGGAAACATTAAATTATCAGATGTTATAAGATGATGAAGCAGATCCTAATCATAGATTGGTTGAGAGCGTACACGTGACCAGGCATTTATTTTGCCTAACACATAATTTTTACTCAAGACCGGTCATTGGGAAAATCATGATATGAAACATCATTTTATTAAAAAAATAAAACATCATCTTATAAAACAAATTATACACATCATTTTGTTTTGGGCATTAGTCAAGCTACCCCCACTCGATACCTTCCAAACAGTCCAAACAACCGAGGCGATAAGTTAGACTGTTCCAAATGTATGTGGGTAATTCTTAGTTTTCTTACTAATGCCCTCACTGCTGTGTATTATATATCATCATACATTGTGTTATACAATGAATTGTCTTATACACCATCAGTGTATACATGCACCTACGAAAAAACACCCAATACAATGTTGCAAGGATACATATCACTCAGGTCGACCAAGGGTACACATATTTTTCCTGACTGGGAGCCTCTGTGGAGGTATTCTTTTCAAAATGAGAAAATAAAAGTGATTCATGGAGCAGAGACACCTCAGTCACTTTGGGGGTGATTACTCTGAAAAGTAAAATGTAAAATGAAAAGTAAAATGTGGTGGTTTATTCTAACTATGAACTGGTCTATTACCTGCTGCTGCTACTACTGCTGCCTGCTCAACTTTCTTGTCCTCGGCTTCCTTTGCCTTCGCCTTCATATCCAGGATGTATGCCTCCTTCTTTTCTAACGTCTCTGTTTGTGGATGGAAGAGGAAGATTAGTTAGAAGTTGGAACAAGATTCTTTTTCTTTTTTAACCCATAGCAGTATAGCATCTCACGGTCTGCCTATATCTTTTGATCCCGAATGCTCTGAATTACAAATTATACATGAGTAGAACGTGCAAAAGTTGTTGCATGTGCAAAAATTCGAGTCCATCTCTGTTGCAGTACATTGCACTATTCATGAATAAGAACGATTTCATAAACAATAGTAATTGGAAGTCCTTTAATTTTGTGATGTAAAGTGAATTCATAATCACTACTTTCATATACAAATTAGCAAAACTTAAAAAAAAATAATAATGTAATATACATTATATTATTATTTTCTAAACGATGAAAGTTTGGAAAATAAAAAAAATTAAAAATGATGAAAAGCTGATCTTTGGTCTGTATGCATGAGCCCTACATGAATGTGAATTTAAGGGATCTGGACCTAGGTGTTGGGTGCCCACGTGTCTCAAGCAGAGGTCAGTTCCAAACTTTGCATACAACTTACAAGTTCATACTGTATCTTGAAATATACATGTACAGGTAGATGCTACAACTGTACATTATATTATACAGGGGACTATCATGGAAGGACTTGCTGAGAGACATCAATTCTGCGTGGTGTTTCACAAAGCCTTTTTTCAATGACAAATGACAAACATCAGTGACAAATCTGCTGATAACCAATCAGAAGCAAGGATTTTAGTAGCTTATAACAAAAACTGTAATTTTTCACTGATGACAAGTTTTGTGAAACACCCCCGTTCTAAAACTTCTGCATGATACTAGATTACTATAGGCTGTAGCACCTGTATTATTTTGCTGCAGAATTTGAACTTACTGTTGTGCCTTGATCCATAGGCGATGCCAACAAACAAGGCAGAGTACCTTGCAAACTGCAACAAAGGAAGACAAATGAAAGAATAAATTAGTGGTCATGAATTATGAAGGTTTTTTAAGTATTTGAACAAAGCAAGAAAAGATAGATCCATACCTATGCCCAAGTATGTATACACCAACAAGTACAGGGTGAGTTACTGAGTTTAACAGACCCACCATGGCAGTGTTAGACACATCAGACACAAACAGGCGCCAGGGACACATCACACATAACGCACCAAAAATCTAAGTCTGGATCCCCCCAAAAAATTATTTTAAAACAGTTTATAGTCTACATAGGTTTCATGTGTACAGACTGTAAAAAGTGAAATCTGACAAAGTAATACCTTTTATTAGATTGCAAAGCATCAACCTCTAATAATATTGTTGTAGACTCAAGTATGATGGGGTTGCATGTAGCCATGTACGGACGCTTTTGATTTTTGAATTTGACGAAAAATGTCCAAAAACCACCCTTTGGAATCAACTATCTGGATAACCAAATTACATTGTGTGTCCTGACAGGTTTGTTATCTGAATACCGGTATATGATTCACAGCTGTAATTTGAAGAAGTTACATTAATTAATGTAATTTCTTTATAAATCTTTAAACAAATGTTCTTGGATCTTGCTTAGTGGATCTTGGATTGTTGTCTTAAATAATATTCTGAGGGGAATTTGCACTGGAGCTGTTGTGGGTAATGTGGGTTCTCATTAATTTTGGGGGTGAAGTGGATCTTGGACTATTGTCATCATTATTCTGCAAGTGATGTTAGACAACATTAGTGATTGGACTAGATTAGAATTAAATAAATGACAGAATCTAGACTAGACCCTAGATTCTGTCATTTTTTAAATTCTAATCTAGTCTTATCACTAATGATCTAGAGACTATTAATTTGAGTATTATCATTAGGGGCGCTGGTGCTAGAACAAGAATTGTCCGCACAAACAAGGAGCGTCTTCTTAAACACGGACAGACGCGTCCAAAAAAATGAAGATCGTTGCATTTTTCGCTGACGATTCTGATTTCCGATACACGCGTTCGCGATGCGAAAAACTCGGTCCGCAATGATTTTCTACATTGACTTTGTAAAGAGGCTTTCACGTTATGAGCGATAAATCCTTGGGAAGCCCGACAACCCATAAAAGAAGACCATGAACTGGGGTTATTTTCTTACCAGAATCTGTTTTATGCATCGCGTTCGCTGCAGAGCTGCGATGAAGAAAAAAACGTCCACAAATCCTTATTTTTTCAGGATGCATTTTATCCGTGTATATTCTAGACCCTACGAGGATATCCTCGTTTATGTGGATGATCCTCATTCTCGGACCAGCACTGTTGAGTCACAAGAAAAATGTAAAAAATGCAGGAAGAGTTGGGCCCTAGTCCTAGACCTAGCGCATTAATAAAGGAATGTAGAAAAAAAAACTAGAATGCTGGGTAATGTTGTACCATTTTAAGTCAAATGTTTGGTGCACTGTCCACTCATCCATTTATTTCATACATGCACAAGTAGTTCCACGCGTGCCAACACGGCCCGCGTTAAGCAGGTAGGCCCTAGACCGAATTTTCCGTCTCTTTCGTTCGTTAGCCTCTTATTGGGGTAGGGTCGGCTCTCTCTTTAGAGACGGAAGCCGTTTATACACATGTCCTTGCTAACGCCACGGCCAGTTCTGGTCGTAGCGTTTTGCCCCCAAAATCCCCCAAAATGTCATTTTACCTCGAGCATGTTATATTGTAAATTAGGCCTAGGCTATAATAAATCAGTTCCACTTACATACTTGACTGAAATAATCAGTTTAATAGTCCCTTTTTAGGAAATTATGGGTCAAAATCGAAATCCATTTTGAAAATCTTTTTCAACATGGATTCCGATTTTGACCCATAATTTCCTAAAAAGGGACTATTAAACTGATTATTTCAGTCAAGTTGGTAAGTGGAACTGATTTATTATAGCCTAGGCCTAGGCCTAATTTACAATATAACATGCTCGAGGTAAAATGACATTTTGGGGGATTTTGGGGGCAAAACGCTACGACCAGAACTGGCCGTGGCGTTAGCAAGGACATGTGTATAAACGGCTTCCGTCTCTAAAGAGAGAGCCGACCCTACCCCAATAAGAGGCTAACGAACGAAAGAGACGGAAAATTCGGTCTAGGTAGGCCCAGGCCTACGGCAAAATTGTAACACAGCTCCATAGGTCTACAGTCACTCACACAGTCACACTCACAGTCGGTCACTCAATGCATCGCAACGGCAACGGCAGTGCAATCACGAATAGGTCTACATTGAAAAAAAGGGAATCAATTAGATTTTTTAACTTTCACACAAGTATTCGGTACGTTTAAGATACATAAATCATTCGTAAATTAAGGGCATCACGCTAATTTACCTTGATCAAGGGAGAAACAACGAGTGGTGCGGGGGCCATCTTGATTTGGGATTCAGTACAACTCGTCCTGCAGCTGCTGGCTCTTGATCATAGAGATATAATATATCTCTATGCTCTTGATCGATCAAGCTAAAGTCGCCCCGCAATGTGGTCAGTCGGCCCATATTTTGGTCACGTAGTGTGCCCAAACTAAGTCACCCAAGACTTTTTATGCACCGACACTCTAAATATTAATTTAAACAAATAAAAATCATCAAATTTATCACATACTGTAATAGAAAAAGTTACTTTCATGTCCTAAAAGCAAATTCTATGTTGCGGGCGGACAATTTGTGGCCGCGGGGGGCCGGGGGGGGGGGGCGGTGCATGCATGCTAATGGAGGTGTATAAACCAAGAGGGTATAATTTAGGTTGTATTAACCAATCATATTATGGGGAAATCTGCGGGGCTTACAACCATATCCCACATGAGGAGATTTTGCTTACTTTGTATTAATTGTAAGAAGACAGTGAGAAATTTGTATACGCCTACTGGCGTAAGCATCTTTAGAATAGACCAAAATATTGACCAAACGTTCCTTGGTTGACTAATTAACGCCTCACCATTATGAAGTTTAAACAGGAAAAAAAAAAAAAAAGACTTATTATAGCTTCCCCAGTGTGCACATAGGCCTATCCCAATCCAGATTCTAAGTATATGGTGTTCATATCCTACCCGGCATGCACCTGGGTAGTGAGAAGCAATAAGCATAACATGCATCAATTGCTTTCAGCGCATAACGGTACCTGGGGTCTCGAACCAACGATCTCTGCATCCCCAAACATGCGGCGAACATAATCAAACCACTCGACTACATCGCGTCTGTGAATCAACAGGTGCTGCACTTTAATGATAATTAAGTTCAATTCAGGTTCAAGGTGGTTATTTTTATCACCGAATAAAGGTCCAACATTTGATACCACGTTTCCTATATGCTGCACGTTGAAAACATACGAGACATTTAATAACGAAGAAAAAGATAAAAATGGGGCAATGTATAATGCCTTTTGTTAACCTCATCACTTCATCACTTACTATAGTGCTTCAAAAATCCACATCTGTTACTTTAAAAGCCAAATGTATGGTGGCCCTGAAGGGACATCGCGAATAGACTAAATCGTGAAAAATATGCGATAAAATTCACGATATCGTCAATTTTATCGCATATTTTTCACGAAGAAATTCACGAAATTGACGATATCGTGAACTTTATCGTGAACTTTTCACGATGAAATTGACGATATCGTGAATTTTATCGTGAAAAGTTCACGATATAAAGTTCACGATATCGTCAACTTTATCGTGTACTCTATCGTGTACTCTATCGTGTACTCTCCTGACGGGCGCTTCGTAAACAAAACCAGCCCTAGCTGGGGGAGACAGAGAGAAGGAAAAAAGGGAAAGGAAAGAGAAGATAAAAGGAAAGAAAGAATAATAAGAAGAAAAGAGGGAAACGGGGGGGGGGGAGGGCTCTTGCCTCCTCCTCACTCCCCCCCCCCCCCCCCCTCCCCGCCAAAAAATAAATCAGAGAGAGAGAGAGAAGGGAAAGGGAAAGGGAAAGAGAAGATAAAAGGAAAGAAAGAAGAGGAAGAAGAAGAAAAGAGGAAAACGGGGGAAGGGCGAAGGACTCTTGCCCCCCCCTCCCCCCCCCCCCCCGCCAAAAAATAAATCAGAGAGAGAGAGAGAAGGAAAGGGAAAGAGAAGAAAGAAAGAGAAAAACGAAAAAGAGGGAGAATAGGAAAGAAAGGAAAAGAAAGAAAAGAAAGGAGGCAAGAGCCCTTCGCCCCTGTTTCCCTCTTTTCTTATTCTTTTTCCTCTTCTTGCTTTCCTTTTATATTTTCTTTCCCTCTCCCTTCTCTTTCCCTTTATGGCGGGAGGGGGGAGGGGGAGGTAAGAGCCTTTCGCCCTTCCCCCGTTTCCCTCTTTCCGTCTTCTTCTTCTTTCTTTCCTTTTATATTTTCTTTCCCTTTCCCTTTCCCTTCTCTCTATCTCTCTCTCTCTCTCTCCTATTTATTTGTTGGCGCGGGAGGGGGGAGGAGGCAAGAGCCCCTCTTTTCTTCTTATTCTTCTTCCTTTCCTTTTTTATTCTCTTTCCCTTTCCCTTCTCTCTCTCTCTCTCTCTTATTTATTTTTTGGGCGGGGGGATGCAAGAGCCCTTCGCCCCCGTTTCCCTCTTTTCTTCTTCTTCTTCCTCTTCTTTCTTTCCTTTTATCTTCTCTTTCCCTTTCCCTTTCCCTTCTCTCTCTATCTCTTATTTATTTTTTTGGCGGGGGGTGGGGAGGGAGGAGGCAAGAGCCCTTCGCCCTTCCCCCGTTTCCCTCTTTCCTTCTTATTCCTCTTCTTTCTTTCCTTTTATATTTTCTTTCCCTTTCCCTTCTCTCTCTTATTTATTTTTGGCGGGGGGGGGGGGGGGAGGAGGCAGGAGCCCTTCGCCCTTCCCCTGTTTCCCTCTTATTCCTCTTCTTTCTTTCCCTTTCCCTTCTCTCTCTCTCTCTCTCTCTCTTATTTATTTTTTTGGCGGGGGGGGGGGGGGGAGGTAAGAGCCTTTCGCCCTTCCCCCGTTTCCCTCTTTCCTTCTTCCTCTTCTTTCTTTCCTTTTATATTTTCTTTCCCTTTCCCTTTCCCTTCTCTCTCTCTCCTTATTTATTTTTTGGCGGGGGGGGGGGGGGAGTGAGGAGGAGGCAAGAGCCCTTCGCCCCCCCCCCCCGTTTCCCTCTTTTCTTCTTATTATTCTTTCTTTCCTTTTATCTTCTCTTTCCCTTTCCCTTTTTTCCTACTCTCTGTCTCCCCCAGCTAGGGCTGGTTTTGTTTACAAAGCGCCCGTCAGGAGAGTACACGATAGAGTACACGATAGAGTACACGATAAAATTGACGATATCGTGAACTTTATATCGTGAACTTTTCACGATAAAATTCACGATATCGTCAATTTCATCGTGAAAAGTTCACGATAAAGTTCACGATATCGTCAATTTCGTGAATTTCTTCGTGAAAAATATGCGATAAAATTGACGATATCGTGAATTTTATCGCATATTTTTCACGATTTAGTCTATTCGCGATGTCCCTTCAGGGCCACCATACAAATGTAAGGTACCTTTTGAAATTAGATCTCTGACATTCAAGAGATATTAATTGGTGAACGATACAATGTGAAATCTTGATCTGGTAGCTAGATACCCATTAATTCAAGTTCTCTATCCGCTGCAATTGTGCAGTTTTGTCTTTTGACAACTCAACATTAAAGCATACAAGCCTCTCTCTATCCAGGCGTAGCATATTGGAATATGGTGCATATTGAGTGCATATTTTTAGCGCCTTAGTATAAAGAGTCTTGTTATAACCCTTCCCAAATGAAGAATGTTTTATTCATCTTTTTCTTGTAATGTATATAATGGACCATACTCGACACAGTTTGTGTATAAATATCGTAACATACGAAGTGCATTCAAGTGACGGAATATGAACTGCAAATCATATTTGATCCACCAGTATATTGGCATAGTCTATTCATAACTCCATCAGCCTCCGAGTCAAAACAACGCGTATACGGACACCTTCCCCTGGACATCCACCCCCAGATAACCATCCCCAGTCAACTTCCTCCTAGGACGACTACCCCCTAGGACAACTATCCCATCAGACAACTACCCCCTAGGACAAATACTCCCTAGGACAACTACCCCCGGACAACTAACCCCGGACAACTACCCCCTATAACTACCCCCGGGCAACTACCCCCAGACAACTACCCCCTATAGGAAAGTTGCCCCGGGGATGGTTGTCCAAGAGTATGGTTGTCGTAGGGGGTAGTTGTCTGGGGGTAGTTGTCTAGGGGTAGTTGTCCTAGGGGGTATAGTTGACTGGGGTGGTTATCCGGGGGTGGATGTCCAGGGGGCAGGTGTCCTAGAACCAAAACAACGACACCCTCCCTCCCCCTACCCTTTCCCACGTAGAATTTTCCTAGATCTCCCTCCTTCAGGTCCACCTCTATAGTTACAATGTATTCCCCTCTTTAAAACAAATATTAATGAACGATAATGCTTTTGCTAATTCGTCTGGCAGCACAGCAAAGAAGTTCATACACGTCGGCTGCCCCGCAAGAAGGCCTTTACTCCCATTGGCAATATATCTCTTACGGTTTTTTTGTGGGCAACCGACGCTGAAAATGGTTCTAGAGATATCGAAAGGGATAGTTTTATCCGGGCTTCTCTCCATATCCCTCCCCTCTCTTTCTCTTTAATGAGTGTTCAAATCAAACGGCTTACAAAACTCCTACTGGAAAATAAGCGGGGAAAATTGAGCGTATCTGAACTTGAGTGACTTTATACTGTACTATTCCGATGCTTTATGCCATTCGTCAATTGCTCGAAAACAACTAATCTTTATCTTCGATTACTGTACGAGAATGTGTATCTTTATTCAAAATAAATCTGTTTCCAATACAACACATTTAAATGGAAAATTGAATACATTTTAGTGCTCAATAATTGAACGAAGAATGATTTTGATTCGTGCATGAAGGTACTTAAATGAAAAACAAAAATATAATGTCCTCTTACCCCCCCCCCCCCCCCCCGCCTTTTCAGTCGGGCACCTGGATGCTCACCTGACGGGAATTTAATGCCTAAAACTTCTGAGCTTCTGGGGTCTAGGCCCCCTGGACCCGACACCAATTAGTGGCCTACCATGCAGTGCCACAAATAAGGTATCAAAATATGCTCATCTGACGATAATTTCATGTATAAAGCCCATGAGCTTTGTTAAAATATGTTTATGTTTAAGCAATCGATATCAATATTGAAAACGTTTATTTATTTTATTCAATTGTATGTTTTTGTTTGTTTTACACATTTGGAGGAATAAAACAAAATTATTATTTAAAAAATGATAATAACAAAAGTGTGTGTTTGAGCATTATATACTAAGGAACACTATTTCAGATTCGGCTTTGTTGAAGATAACTTTTGTAAGCAAAAGATTGAAACATATTTACACTTGTTCTGGGAGCGTGTACAGTTAAAAGGTTATGGCAGAATGTAA